AAATATTGCACTTCAGATGAAGAATAAGTAGTCATGTTAAGTTGCTTATAAAGAATGAGAAAGAATAGTTCAACTTGAAGGAAAAAAAGTATAATATTTTCTAGTAGTTCTTTCTAATGTAACTGAAATAGTCTTAAACTTTTTGAGTTAGACTGTCTGGAACACCATTTTATTTTAGAATGTTATGAGATCTGTTTTTTAGCTTTATATTTTTAAGTGTTTTAATTAATCTTTGGAAAATTGGACTGAAAACTTTGTCAGATTCATTTTCCTACTTTGCTCAGCTGCTTTGCTCAGCTAACACGTAATTTTAATTGCTAAGCTGATTTAGAGTTAAGCACTAGTAATATTTTGATGAGCGATTTGTTGGTTTCAGAATCCCATAGTCCATGGCCAAAAGGTGTTATTATAGAAATGAAAATACTTTAAGTAGCAAAAATAAATAACTAAATAAATTAAAATGAATTGAATAAAGTTTAATTTCTTTCAGGTAACTGAAAATAGAGAAACAGAGATGAATGCAAGAGAAATTAAATCTGACACCATAACACAGAATGGACAAGGTTGCTTTGTGGTAAGACTCACCTTCATCTTTCAGTAGAGGCCAACATCTGGATTTTTCCCCAATCTGTAACAAATCAGGGGTGCTTTGCAGCTGATATCATATGAGATTTTATTTCAAGAAAACATTTTAATTTCATAATTGCTGTTAATTTTGGTACTAGGGTTTGTGATATTTTAGAAAAGGAACCACATTTAAATTTAAGATAGCAAGACCTTAATTTTATGTAGGAGCGTCATTAGGCATTACTAGCTTAACTTTTAAGCCTTGCTGTTTTGTAGCATTTTTAATCAAATACTTTAAACATACATTGTTGTTCTTTAAATAGAACTACAGGCTAATACATTTCAAATCTTGCTAATCTGGGCATAGTTGTCTTACTATTTTTGAGGCAATATATCAAGACTTCTTGGTATCACTCAGGTGGATATAGAAGAAATACAAGATTACTTACCAGAAAAGAAATTTCTGTTGGAAGTTAAAACCAATCTGGAACAGGTCAGATCATCACTGCAGAAACGAGAAACAGAACTCAAGGATCTTCTACAAACTGAACATTGGTGCAACCTTCAAATTACAGAAACAGAAATGATGCAATGAGTGGAGAAAAGTCAGTATGAATGGGCACCTGGGAGGAGGCTGGTCTCAGAGATGGAAATGACAAAACAAGCATGAAGATGTCATCATGCATTGTCTTTTCTTCCATTCTGAGGACACAAGCGCTTTACTGCACCATACATGATAACCTCAACACATCAGTGCCCTTTGGATGATGTCATAGTAGTTTGCTGTATTAATTAATTACATTAATTAATTACATTAATGTATTAATGTATATGTACCTCAATATAGAAAATTGAAATATACAAAAGTACCATAGCAATCTGGTCCTAGGATGTGAGTACAGTAGGGTTCAGTTTTGCTAGATATTTGTAAATGTCACTAGCTAGACTATAACCAAGTAATCATAGGCCCACACCAGTGGTGGGATTCAGCTGGTTTGCACTGGTTCAAATGAACTGGTTATTAAATTACACTCCTCCCCCCCTCGCCCCCCCCAGGTTATCAAAGTGGATCCTGGGCACTGCGCTGCAATGGAGAAGCAGGCAACAGAGTGGCCAACGCAATGAAAACAGAAGGCCACTTTCCCTTTCTCTTGTCTCTGCTCCTCCCCCTTTCCCCGTGCTGGCCACTCCATTGCCCATTTCTCCATTGTAGCACACAGTAGTGCCCAGGATCCACTTTGATAGCTGGGTGGTAATTTAACAACTGGTTTACTCAGGGTCAGGTTGGGCCATGCCTCCCATAACAGCTAACCTGATTCTGGTGAACTGGATGAAATATTTGAATCCCACCGCTGGTCCACACCCCATGTAGGCGTACCTGCCAGAGGGTTTTAAGTGGTCTCCCTTCTCCACTGCTTTTAATATTAATTGTGGTCAGTAAACAAGGACTGCCTTTATAAATATTAAGACTACCGGTATGTAAGGTTCCAATTATTTTGGAGCAGAATTTTTGGAGCTCATAATATCTGTCTTTCACTCATTAAAGCAGCACATATATACAAGTAGTCCTCGACTTACAATAGTTAACTTAGTGACTGTTCAAAGTTACGACAGCACTGAAAAAAAGTGACATGACCATTTTTCAGACTTATGACCATTGCAGCATCCTCATCGTCATGTGATTTACATTCAGATGCTTGACAACTGATTCATATTTATGATAGTTGCAGTTTCCTTGGATCATGCGATCTCCTTTTACAACCTCCTGACAAGCAAAGTCAATGGGGAAACCAGATTCTAATTATTAATTTAATAACTGCAGTGGTTCACTTAACAAATGTGGCAAGAAAAATAGTAAAATGGAGCAAAACTCACTTAACAAATTTCTCACTTAGCAACATAAATTTTGGACTCAATTGTGGTTGCAAATACAGGTAATCCTCAATTTACAAAATACAATTCAGAATACAAAAAGATTAACTTTCATCATTATGAATCTTTCAGGAGTCACAGAGAAGGCTAATCCGTGTTCACAATTCTTCCTCGTGTTTATCATGATAGCGTAAACTCATCCTGAAAAAGTCTTGTGGATGCTTTTTTCATTTTCCTTGTTTCTTTTTTTTAATATGCACAGAAAAGGGTTGATTTTGGAGAAGGAGCTTCTCTTTGAAGTTAATGCAGTCATCTCTTTTCCTTTGCTTCTTCTAATTTGTACCATTTTGTGGCAAACATTTGGTGGCAAACATCAGATTTGTTTCTAAGTATATGATTTAATCATTTCTATTCTTTCATTTTTGCATGGCTGAAATCAGTTCTAGATTTCCAGCTGTGAACAAATTAACTAAGATACATGCCTCTCCCTCATCAGACAGCTCTATAAATTTGATTAATAAGTAAATAAATAATAAAATCTGTATTCAACCTATCACAAGAACATTAAAAGTAAATATAAAAAGAGGGCTTCTATGACAGTTGCTTAATTTCTTTCACCTAACTGAAAATAGAGAAACAGAAATGAATGAAAATTCTCCAAAATATGTTTTGAATTATAAAACATTTTATACTGTGTCTAAGTCTGATTTGTTGGGGCAGGCTTCATAATTTATATGGATGCATTTATCTATTTGCTTGCTTGTTTTAAATAAAATTTATAGGCCTTCTAACTCATAGCAACCCTAGATATTAAGTAATCAGTTGGATGATTGCCTTGCCTTGACATGAACAAATATAATAAACTTTAGAATGCCCAATGTTCAATTAAATAACAAGAAAAATTAATGAATATTCTTGTTTTATCTTACATTTAACATGAATGTATATCTCTACATCAATTACTTAAAACAGTTCATAGTCAGCCAAATAATAACACAATTTATTTTATTTACTTTACTTCTTATTTCACTTTTGATAATTTTGAAATTGAGCCAACAATAGCCCATTTAATCAATAATCAATTCTCACAACTGGAAGCTCGTAATCCACTCAAAACATCTCCTAGTGGGCACCTTTCAGTTTTTGCCTATGTCCCCTTGCTTTCCTATCCTTTGCCTACAGTGTTCGCTCTCACATGCACACTTTTTAAAGTTTTGAAAAAGAAGGGCATTGCCTCTTTATTTCTATGAAGCTAGTTGTTCCTTGCTACAAAGTTCCCATGGGCTTCTAAGGAGGAATGTAGGAGTGAAAGAACAAGGCTGATGCCTCTGGCTTTGCAATAATTATCAGAGCTATGATGGAAACACGAAAGGTCTTTGCAGTGCCAAGGAGAACATACGGAAAGGGGAGAGCTGAGGGCATATCCATGTGTGCAAATATCTGGGAAAGCAACAGAAAGTCATGAGAACTACTGAGAACAGAACAGGAAAAAAGGAAAGGCATGGTACACTGATCCATGAAGAAGTCAAACAGTGATGCTGCATGGATTGGAAGGGCAAGAATCATGGGGGGTGGGGGGGGAGGTGGGGAACCCAACCAAATCTTGTGACGCCCAAAGTCCAGATTGAGCACGAGCCCTTTATCAACTACTGGAATCCAGAGTGGAATTTATAATGGTAGCTTAAGAAACAGCTGGAAACAACATGGGAGACAAGTAGCTTCCGTTACAGTATAACCACCCTAAAAGATACTAAAATCCCCGCAGGGTTTCAAGTCAAAAGCTACCAGTCTCTGGTTAAAAAGTTTAGAAAATGCCAGATATTAACCAAAGCAGCCAAGTCTGGAATGCTGAAGAGTGGCGAAAGATGGCTGGAACTCAAGCTAAGGCAAAAAGGACCTTAGTTCTCCGCACTCCTTAGCGGGGGTGGGGAGGGTTAAACCCTGGTAATTCAAGTTGTTATGTATAATTCAAGGCTGCCTGTAAAAAAAAGAGAGAATTGGGGGGGGGGAGGAACAGGAGAAAATGAGTTTAGGAAAAATTGCAGGGATTATGATACAGACATCATAAGAAGTACATTGAATAAGATACATATTGAAAAGAAAGTTGATGTAAATAAATCTGTAGAAGCCTATAAAAATACGATAACATAAAGCTAAACGCATAGAAAACCCGTAAAAGAAGATGCATGCATTATAGGGAGAAAATATTTAAACAATAAATGGTATCCTCAAATAAAGTGATGTTTTTCTACAATAATTTTTCCCTTCAATCTTCATTTTTTTTGAGGGGGGTAGTTGGCACCGTTTCCCTGTGCACGTTCTTGAATGCTGGAGGTGGCAGTGAATATTGTTTGTTTCCACACATTTTATTTTTCCTTTCTTTTGTAGCTGTATTAGACCAGTGGAATCTATGCATACAATGGATGGAAGTAGATATTAATAATAATTGGAGGGATATTTATGTCAAGAAGGTTTTTCCAATGTCCCTGATTTTGCATGCTTCCATTGGAATTTAATCTTCCCATGTCTCTGCAGTTCTGTATATCCTACATAAATCTCATATATTCCCAGGAGCAATCATTATCCACCACTTTACAGTTAAATTGGTTTGACCCATTCATCCCTTCTCCAACATCTATCATTTGGGATTTTTTATTTGATCTGGATTCAATCTGGGCTGCTAACAACTGTGAACCATTCCTCATCTTCAAATTGGCTTTTGCTCTGGAAAATGTTTGTGTGCTTACCCACTTCAGTTTGTTTGCTTTATATTTTACTTATTTCATACTGCTCAGAGCAACCTGTAAGCTGGAACAGAACTTTACTTTTATATACACAGTGCTCTAGATCTGGCAGTGCCGTTTTAACATTTTAAAGGTGCATATTCAAGAAAGCGACCACTCCAAAATGTAAAGCTTTGAATAGTACACTAAACACATAAATTAAGAAAAAAATACTAACCCATCTGTCTAAATATACTTAAAATTTGCATTAGGAAAGTAGGCCAAAAATGTATTGTCATGCAAACCTAAGATGAAAAAAAATCTGATTTGAAAAATGGCATGAGGCATGAGGAATAATAAGAAACCTGAATGCAAAATTGACCAATTCATCAATCCATGGCTTTGGATACTTCAGTTGTGTTAGTTTGGAAACCTTTGGACCTGTGATCCCAGCTCTGCAACAGTATTGGGAACTGAGTTAATAAATATCCACTTGAAGAGCTAAGTTCAAACTACTTTTAAGCCATTGCAGCTTTATTTTCCCATTGGGGAGACACTTCATTTGTCAACTTACCTACCGGCTCCTGAGCTTCAGATGGTTTTTTTTCAGCAAATGTTACTTTATGTGGAAGCAAAGGAGAACCTGATAAAATGGCCAATTTCATTCCTGCTAACTCCTAAGGTAACATTTAGGTAAGTGCTTTAGTTTCATCAGCTTTGTCTGGCTTCTTGATAGCCAGTGATGAAATTGGCCATTTTGCCAGGTTCTCCTTTGCTTCAGCATAAGACCTGCAAACTAAGAAAACATCTGGTTTTCAAGTTTACACTTTGATTTTTCTTAAGACTTTATAGGATAATGTCTTTTAGTGCTCATCTCCTTGACAAATCTCAACCGCAAACCTGACTGGGAAGTAAAAGTTCATTGGATTTGATGAACTTTCAAGTCAATGTACATAGGACTATTCTGCAGATCTGCTACATGGAAATCCCCTTCACTTTA